TATTTCACCTGGTCCAGCCATCAAAGGTGTAACTACTTGCATTACTTACATACAACTATATGAATGGTTAGCAGAAGGGTTGCTGTAGTACTGATGTCACAAGCTGAACAGAAAACTGACTTTTGGTAAAAAGTCATGCAAGACCAAAACATTTGCAATGTAATTTGCAAGAGTATCAGTCTTTTTGAAGGGCCATTTAACCCTTTGAGTAAGGAATGGCTAAAAGGACAAATGGGGAGAGTAAAATACACTCATCCCCATAGTTAGTGATGACATGTGACACTGCAGCTGTCACGTTGCATCTATTGATCGAAAAATGAGGGATCACAAACCACTGATCACCCAGTTCACAATCTTTTCTTTGCAGTGACTGTCAGTCAATACTTCCCACAGGGATTCCCCCCTCCCCTCTCCGTTCCGCCAGTACTCATTGGCGAACCGACAGGGGAAGGGGCGGGCACAGCTGGCTCTGCCTCTAGAGAGGCAGATCCAGCAGTCAATCAGGCAGCAGTATGGATCCTGACAATATTGTCGGGATCTTTCCCAGCTTGTGACACAAAACTTGGCATCGCTATATGATGGCAGCTCTGAGTTTTGGGTCACAAGAGGACATTAGTAAATGTCCTCCTGTGACTTGCATAGTATTTGAGGTTGAATAAAAAAACAGGTCCATGGAGTTCAACCTTTACGTGTAAGTGTGTAGTGCGTGCATGTGAGTCACTGTGTAGTCTTAGGTTTTAAGAGTACCTGTACCCCTGTATGTTACGGTCTCTGAGGAAGGTATCTAATTGATTTTTGAATGATTCAATACTCTCTGCTGATAACACTGCTTGTGGCAGAGTTCCAAAATTCAACCACTCTGACTGAAGAGAAGCCTCTACGCCCTTTGTGGTAAAATCTTTTCTCCACCAATTTTAGGTGGTGGCCTCTAGTCCTTGTTAGGGAGTTTAGAGTAAAACGTTTATTGCGGATGTTGCCATCACCACCAAACATTTTGTACATCAAAATCATGTCCCCTCGTAATCACCTCACTTCTAGCGTGAACAAGTCTAAATTTAGTAACAGGAAAAAGTTTCCTTGAAGGGAACTAACGGCGAAAAAGGTTTGGCCATAGCCATAGTTCTCTTTTAAGACCCATGTCAGGCAATTTTTTTGTGTTTCAATCTCCCTAGTGGGGACAAAGACAACAAACACTAGCTCTGTCAAAAAATGAATGTTTGGCCTTTACATACACTTTAAGCCAACACTCAGTCAGAGGAACATATAAATTACACGTGGAGCCTAATTAAAAGGATTTCAAAGCAGAGCTTTATTAAATAAAAAAAATAAAAAAACATTGCAAGTATCATTTTCTTTGACCAATGAGCTCAGGATTTAGAGAAAGGAGTAGAACATGGTCAGCATTCTGTTCTGAGTTAAAGAAACTGGTCACACCAAATCCATGTTGCTGACTGTAAGTCTGCATTGGAGAGAATGCCAAGGGAAGTCTTCAAGGTCATGCGATAACGAATGCCAACTAAATCCTCCCCAACCCTGACTGCACTTCTGTCTGAAGCTTCCCAAACCTTCAGTGGGGCAATATTAAACCAGATAGTGGGGGCTCTTGCCATAAGATCTCTGGATATTTAAACATTGTCACAAGAATATATTTTACACGGGATGAAAGGAATATCTGGACTGAAACCGCATATTATTTACAGAGTTCTATGTCAACAAAGGTCCAACCCCGGCAATTGTAGCCCCAAACGGATTTCTTCATTTTTGTGTGGATTTGGGATTTTACCACTCTGACACTGTGCCTATTTAGAGCAAAGTGACAGTGTCTGTAAGAAGACTGCTCACTGGCCACTGATACTACCCTACCTTTTCGTTGCTTTAGTCGGTGACCACACTTGGTGCTTTTTTTTTTTTAAACTGCCTATTGTAGCCACAGAGAGAAGTAAAGGGGGGAAAATTGGAAATTACGCCCACATAAAAATAAAAAACAAAAATAGTAAAATATTTAGGGTGGATAAAGGAGGACAAAAGACAACCTGGGGACTTTCCACCTCTTACTTTATTGTCACAAAGTCAGACTTCTCTTTGTAAATTGTGGGAATAAGAGTAGAAAAGTCAAAAAACAACACAGAGGTAAAGCAACATGCAGTTCAGCATCTGCCAAGGAATGTCCAAAGGAGGAAAAAAAGCCCCAAAATGGAACAAAAGTGCCAAAACCATTACATAATAGAACATTCAAGAGGAGCCATCAGTTCTGAAATATCTTATTCATCAATTCTAACAACGTTGTGAAATATACTTTATTGCCTGAAAAGGTCTCATTTCCTTTTTGTAGAAACAATTGTACTATTAGCTGAATGTCTGGTCCATCCTGTTCAAATGTTACCTCCTATATTTCTCAACGGGGAATACACAGATATCAGTCACAAAAGGATTAGACAGGCTGAGCTGTAACTTAAAGACATCATCTCATCATAAACACATTTTGTTATCCTGCTCCCCAGGGGACAAAATGCATATATCACTTTGTCCCATATTGAAGGATGCCTTAGATCCAGAGCTATTGGGGTCAACATTCCTCCTCATTCCTCCCCACTGTTGTCCAAACACACAGCGCTGTAGGAGACAAATAACTAATTTGCGCTGACAGCGCTGGTCTCTGGCAACGTCATTCAGCACAGAAGAGGAAGGGGTGACAAGGATCACAACACACGGGCTTACAATTGTAAATGCTGCTGGTAACATTCCCCTGCACCTGAAAAGTATAGTATCTGCCAGTGCTGGCAAGGCTGTGTGATCAATCTGCTGGCTGCTAGTATACATCCACTGCACTGTGGGAATGCCCAAAAAATAGGGTCCAGGCAGGGGTGTTGCTGACAGCCAGCATGAACACACATTAAGAGGTGCTTTTAGAGCAAAACTACAGCAGGGATCAGAACAAGACTAAATGCTATAGGCACCTGGTC